CCATACTATATCTTAGATCCCTTAATTGCCTGACTAATCTCTTGGTCTGTATTCAGACAGTGTAAAAGTGTGGTGAAGGCATTACATGAATTCAGATACATTAAATTCTGGCAATGGACATCATGTTTATTACTTTGTGGTGTTAGGCACTATGGTGTAGTTTACTTTGAAAAAAGAATTGAGAGTTGTAAAGAAGCAAGAGAAGTTCAGGAATCAGCAGAGTGGATTAGGGGAAAGTTAGTGTAGGAATGAAAGACATGCAGAAGCTCTAGCAAAATATCTTTAGCACATTCTGAGACAAAGGCTTTCGCTTCACTACAGGCCAAAAATGAAATTAAATACAGCAGCATAATTGACCTGTGATTTTGAACCTGGGGATTCTTTCATAAGTAAGAAACAAAGAATTATTTATACTGATGGCATTTGAAGAGTATTTAAAACCAGTGAATGGTGCCAACTCGAACTGCAATTAATAAAATACCCACAGCCAGTGATAAAAAGCCAGATGCTTTCAGGATCCCACCCTCTGTGTAAGGGCTAAATCCTCAGAGCAGAAATGAAATACTAATGAAGACAACTGATGACCAACAGATGACTGTATCCATCATATGGTAGTTGGTTTCAGATCCAACTCAAACATCAAGCCAATCTTTCTACGGGCACCATGCAACAAATAGCCCATCTGTATTGCTGGGGATAACACCAATGAGAACAGGCATCTATTTACATAAAGACAGACTTCAATGGCTAAAATAACCCTATATTTGGCAGAGTGTTCTCATAAAAACTGAGCATTTAATACACCAGTAGGCTATAATTGATACAATGAATCATTTTCTTCATGCGTGGTAAATTTTCAGTGTTTTCCAAAAGACTAAACCCACAATTTAGAAAGGCCTAAATGGTTTTACCTCAAAACTAGATAACTAGAAAAACTACTTTACATGAAGCTGGAGTGTAACAATCTGGCCCTTTGCACTCAAAAAATATTTACTTTTTATTTCCTTCCAAAACAAGAAGGGTGTTCAGTTGTACATTCACAGTTGGCAATTTTTTTCCGCCTTTAAGAAAAACCATTAACTTTTGGAGTCACATAGATGTGGATGCTCTTTTGAAGTACTTGCTAGTTGTATAGAAATGATTATCTCTGATAATCATTTCTGCTCTACAAAGTAAGAATAGAAATACTAACTACAAAAGTCATTCTGAGGCTAAATGGGAGGTCAAGAAAGAACACTTAAGCAAAGAATCTGAAAAAAATTAAAACTGAATAAATATTGCTTATCTGTGCTTATGTCTTCTCTATCCTCAATGTCCCAAGAGAATAAAATGTAACCTGAAATTTTAAGAAGGAATTTGATGGGCTTGGAATGTAGCTCCATGGTGGAGTCCATGCTCAACATCTTCAAGGTAATCTGTTCAATATCCAGCACCAAAAAAATAAAAATAAGTAGAAATTTAAAATAAAAAGAAATTTGACCTAAATTAAGCACTTTACCAAAACAGATGTATTTCCCATGATATAGCTCAGATAGGTAAATCTATGCAGCTATAATGGTAACAGGTATACCTTTAAAGCTAATACACAAATTAAAATTTAAAACCTAATTATTAATGATATTTAAATGAGTCCTCAATTTAAAATAATGCTATGAATTATCTTTGCACTGGCTAAATAACCACTCTTAATTATTCTGTTTTATAATTCTAGTCTTCTGATTCTTATATGAATAGTTTGCTTAAAATAGGATATAACTCTACTTATTTCTTTTAAGCTAAAAATTATATATTTATTCATTAATGCCAGTAGACCTTGGAAAGAAGTATTATATATTTATTATATTTCATATATGAGAACAAACTACTATCAAGAAGAAAATAAATTTGAATTATTCACATTCATAATGTCATTTTTACATCTCTGCCTTCTATGGCAAGGCTGCCTAGGGTGTGTGTGGGGGGGGTGGGTATGCTATAATATGGAATATAAGCCATACTCTGTGTAGTACCTAGAAGCTGTTTAGTAACTTTTGTGGCTATTTGATGATTTTAGCAAATATTAAACTATTTCCAGACATGGACACTTCTTGAATTGATGTAACTGGGGCAGAGTCCCAAGGGTTAGGAGAAATGAGGTTGAAAGCATAGAGAGAGCCTGATCCCTTCCTTTGAGAGTTGACTTTGTCTAGAATCGTGAGGGCATTGAAGGGGAAGATAAAATTTATGGCAAATGGAATACATCTTAGAGAAAACTCAGAAATATTAAAAAATTGGTATATGCAAAGTATAGATTAGATTGTCTTAGTTGCAACATAAAGTCAAAATAATAACAAATAAATGCCAGTAAACTACAGACTAATCCGATTTTGTAAGGAAATAAACACCATGCCATCAAGCAGCAGGTAGCAAGCCCTGGCACTGTCGCTTCACAAACTTTGCTTCAATCAGCTCTGATTTCTGATACAAACAATCATTTCCTAAGGAGAATTTAGTTATAAGGTCTCCCAGAAATTGTTCTAAGGAATCTTAAACAAAAATCTAAGGGCCATTTGCTAAAACAAAAAATTATGACATGACAAATGTAAACAATGTGAAACCCACGGTATTAAAAATATGGCTCAGATGCACTAGCAGGGGTGGGGTGGGCAGCGGGCGGGGGGCAAGACCTGGTCCTGCCCGCACCATGGCAAAAACTGTGGCCTATTTCTACAACCCCGACGTGCGCAACTTCCACCACAGAGCTGGGCACCCTATGAAGCCCCATCGCTTTGCATTGACCCATAGCTTGGTCCTGCATTATGGTCTCTATAAGAAGATGATCGTCTTCAAGCCATACCAGGCCTCCCAGCATGACATGTGCCTCTTCCACTCTGAGGACTACATTGACTTCCTGCAGAGAGTCAGCCCCACCAATATGCAAGGCTTCACCAACAGCCTTAATGCCTTCGATGTGGGCGATGACTGCCCAGTGTTTCCCCGGCTTTTTGAGTTCTGCTTCCGTTACACAGGTGCATCTCTGCAAGGAGCAACCCAACTGAACAACAAGATCTGTGAGATTGCCATTAACTGGGCTGGTGGTCTTCACCATGCTAAGAAGTTTGAGGCTTCTCGCTTCTGCTATGTCAATGACATTGTAATTGGCATCCTGGAGCTCCCCAAGTACCACCCTCGGGTGCTCTATATTGACATCGACAGCCACCATGGTGACGGGGTTCAGGAAGCCTTCTACCTCACTGACCGCGTTGTGACTGTGTCCTTTCACAAATACGGAAAGTACTTCTTCCCTGGGACAGGTGACATGTATGAAGTTGGAGCAGAGAGTGGCCGCTACTACTGTCTCAATGTGCCCTTACGGATCGCATTGATGACCAGAGTTACAAGCACCTTTTCCAGCAGGTCATCAACCAGGTGGTGGACTTCTACCAACCCACATGCATTGTGCTCCAGTGTGGAGCTGACTCTCTGGGCTGTGATAGATTGGGCTGTTTCAATCTTAGCATACGAGGGCATGGGGAATGCGTTGAATATGTCAAGAGCTAGGTGGTGTTGGCTATACTGTCCGAAATGTTGCCTGCTGCTGGACATATGAGACATCCTTCTGGTAGAAGAGGCCATCAGTGAAGACCTTCCCTATAGTGAGTACTTCGAGTACTTTGCCCCGGACTTTACCCTCCATCCAGATGTCAGCACCCGCATCGGGAATCAGAACTCACGCCATTATCTGGATCAGATCCGCCAGACAATCTTTGAAAACCTAAAGATGCTGAACCATGCACCTAGTGTCTAGATCCACGATGTGCCTGCAGACTTCCTGACCTATGACAGGACTGATGAGGCAGATGCAGAGGAGAGGGGTCCTGAGGGGAACTACAGCAGGCCAGAGGCGAACTACAGCAGGCCAGAGGCACCCAATGAACTTTATGATGGAGACCATGACAATGACAAGGAAAGTGATGTGGAAATTTAAGAACAGCTCAGGATGCTGTGTTCCAACGAATTTCTTTTCACCTCTTGGTTGTGTGGGAGGGAAAGATGTGGTTTCACCAGTTCTGGGCTTTTACTAATTCAGGGGAAGGACTTGAAGACCACATATGATTCTAGAACCATCTAATCCCTTTTCCTTTCTCTACCACAGCTTGATGATGGTACCTCAGGATGGGATGGAGACAGGGATAACTGTCTCTGGATGATTATGGGTGTGGGCCCTAGAGGCCTTTCCCCAGTTCTTCTGGCCCCTTATTTGTTCCCTGTTTCCTTCTAACCCAGAGACTTTTAGGGGTGGAGGGGTAGACAGGACTGAGATTGCCTCTGGCATCCTCTCCTGGGTTTTCTTACTGCGGCCTTGTTCAAGGGCAGGTGAAGAATAAGAGTTTTGGAGGCTTTGGCTCCCTAACACCTTAACCCCAGATGATGGGTAGTGTGGTTTCAAGTAGGAAAGGATATGAAAATGTCGAATTCTAACTTTTGGCTTTATGTCCATTTTACCACTTTTTATCCAATAAACCAAATTGGTATTTTTGTATCTTTAAAAAAATAATAATAAAAATAAAAATATGGTTGAATTGTATTACCATTTTTGTTGGCATTGAGAAAGCAGATGTTAGAGGAAACTTTAGAGAGAATTCCATTTGAATATAACAGATCTAAATTTTTCCCAAATGTCTTCACTATAGGTCTCACCATTTTCACAGGCCAAAGGGTCTTTGTGATTTTGTTTCTGAGTTATTAACTGGTCCAATAGCATTGATTTTTCTGGATCTGATATCCTAACTTCTACTTCTGAATAACCTAGAGTTACTATTTTATAGTTAAAATCACCATTTTCAAATGCTTCTATGGTATTCAAATGGCACACTATTTGGAGTCAGTGCTTGAATACTATTTTAAGAGTCACTTATTTGGTAAGTATTTTGAATGAGCAAGATAAAGTGAGAGAGTGATTTCTACCTCAAACTACATGTTCACTGATCAATTCCAAATCAGTTAGGTATCTAATTTCTCATTTCAGTGGAGTTTGTTCTTACCAAATGGCAATTTCCCTTTAACCTAACCCACATAAGCACCAAAGGTTTTGAAATGGTCCCTAGGCTCTACTTCCCCAAACATCGTCAATGGAAGAAGAAAGAAAATGCTTATTACACTTAACCTGGATGGCTCAGTCTGTGAATTCTCTTTCTTAGTAAGTATATCATATTGTCACTTATTTAAAAAAGAGACTCACAAAATATAATTCCTTCTAAAAAAAACCACTGCAGGGCACATTTTGAATCCATGTTTGCACAGCACCTAAACGTTTAGCACGTGAACCACAGTGGGGCTCAGGTTGTGTAGCACCACTTGAATTCTCTCCACCACCACTTGGCTTGAAGGGGAGTATTTACCATGCAGAGTTCTTCCTTTGAGAAAACAGTCTTTACAACTTTATAAAGCATTTTCCCTAGGCGGAAACGGACTCAGCTGCAGTGCTTCCAAAATTCTCGCTCCTTGAATGATATTGATCACAGGATTGTTGAGCTGTGACAAGGCTGACTACAGAAGACAGGGCAAAGCCATGGACATTAATATCACTGAATGGCCCCAGGGATAACTGGTGGTCCTGCCTTGGCACTCCCATACCGCCTCTGTTTTTTTGCTCACTATTTTCTTCTCTTTTCTATTACCCTTCCTTTATTCTCTTCTCATGTCTCTCTATTTTACCTCTTTCTAAAATGCTTTGTGTACTATAATAGGCAGAGGCAGGACTTGAAGTTAGACAGACTGCATCTGAGACCAAGCTCTAGTGCCAAGCTGGAATACCTGGGCCAGGTAAGTTAGCATCTTAATCTCTTCATATAAGTGAAGGATAAGATCTAACTTATGATGTTGCTATCAGTATTAGGGATAATAACAGTAAAGTTCCTAAACATGTAGAAATTGGCTAACTAAACCAGCTCTTTTATTATTAGGTGAATTCAGATTCTTATAGCAGTTACTATTGAACTCCACTCTGAGTCTGTTTACCAGGCCAGAGCTTGCTGACATAGTTGCAGGCTGTTCTACACTCACCCTACCTCCCTAAAAAGATGCCTGGCAACTTATGTCCCCAGTGTCACAAACTCTTTAGAGCTTTCTTCTAAGAGGTGTTCCTTGATAAATCACCTACACAAGAATTCCTATATTAAGCATTGCTTCTGAGGCACTAACCTAAGAACACTTATAATTGTTATTATTGCAAATATATTTTAGGCCTTCTATTAGCAATCAAAGATACTTAAAGAACTCAGCTGAAACACTGCTGATCTATAATGGGACAAAATTTCACCTTCCTGGTTCTACTTCTGGTATGCCAACATGAGAATCTCAGTGGACTATCATCAAAATGGGTAAAAATTAAATACTTAAAGTCTCTAGAAATAGTTCTAAGGAAATAGAGCAAACGAGAAAGTGCTCATTCAAGAAAATCTACTAAAACTCTGCAAATCTTTGAGTCTGCATCATTTGTACCAAAACACACACCCACTCTCCCCATTTCTGGTTCAGTATTATAGAAGATCTACCCCAACAGTTAGAGGCAATAGCACAAGGTTCTGACCCCAACTATATTCCTGGGAGGGGGAGGCCATCAGCCTTTCTCTGGCTGCCCCTGTTACTTGTTGCTGAGACAAGGTTCCTCACAAATATAACAAGCAGGTGAGAGCTCTATTTTCTTTTTCCACCCAGCTCCCACTTACAGGAGAAAGGCTCTTCCTTAGGCCCAGTGCTACTTGGAACACTAGGGTCTCAATTGCTCCTGACTCTGCTCATAGAGCAGAGGTTCTATGCCAAGAGAGACAAGCCAAGGACATCTTCCTCTACTGAGTACTCAGTTCCTAGAGTTGATTGTCCCTCAGGGGAAAATGCACTGTTGTCAGTCCACCAGAACCAAAGCTACAGATTGATTATTTTGCCTTGGTTGAAAAGCACACCATAAGACATAGAGCTTAAAATCACTCCATGAGGAAACTAACTTTGCTTGCAACAGTGTGTGAAGTTGAAACTGAAGGGTATTCTCAAAAGCAGTAGAGATTTTGGTAAAAGAGAACTGGAGGCATAGGCTAAACTGGAAACCCTCAAGGTGTTAGAGAAAAAAGAGGAAAGAGCTATCTGGAAGAGCCTTCCTAGACTCTGAATAAATCTCAAACACTGATCACAAGAAATTCTCCTTAAAGAGTAATGGAAGGGATTGAATGGACCAAAGTAAAGTATACCCTAGTGAGAATATATTGAGAAATCCCTTTGAACATCAACTTAAATATGAATAACGGAAGATAGGACTGTAAAATAGGTACAGATATGGGGGTGCTGGGGGAGGGGAGAGTGAAGGAAATTAAGGTGAGGGTATATGGTTGATGGACTTCATATACCTATATGAAATAGAACAAAGAAACCTTTTGCAATTGCTTTAAGTGAGGTGGGGAGGAGGTTGGGGGCGGGAAACAATGGGGGTGATGCAAACAATGTACAATATAAGTCTAATTGGAATTGATACTATGAATCCCCCCTGTGTAATGAATATATCCTAATAAAAATTTATTTTAGAAAAGAAAGAAATTTTCCTTCAGAATAGCCTTACTTGGTTTCTCATGTAGCAACATATGCCACAACATTTTAGACCAACCAGCCAGCACCAGTAGAGCGAGTGGAGCTTCACAAAGGGATGTAGTAAGGTAACCAAGCAGAGAGCCTTGACAAAATCATTGTCATTCCAAGGTGACTGCAGGCAAGCTTAAGGATGTGCCCCTGAGGAGCAACCTGAGGCTTCAGTCCATGTGCACACGTGTGTGTTCAGGGGACTGTTAGTGGGGGTATAGACACATCATACAAATAATCCTATCAGTCACTACACCAGATCAATATAAAAAAAATAAAGAAAGCAATCCCACAATAGATATTTAGGAACAAATTTCACAAGAGAAGCCCAATAAGTATTCTCTAAAGACTAAAATATTACTTTAAACAAGTAAAGATCTTAATAAAACAGAAAAGAATTCATGCTCATGGAGAATAAAACTCTATGCAGTTAAAGCAGTAATACTTTCTAAATTGACCTACACCATTGATGCAATTCCTAGTAGAATCTCAGCTGATTAATTTATGTGAAGCTGACAATCTGGTTCCAAAATTCATAGGAAGTTGCAAGGGACCCAGAATAGATCAAAGAATCTTGAAAAAGAACAGTGGGAAGGCTCACATTTCCCATTTATAAGACTTACTACAAAGCAACAGAAATGAAGTCATTGTGGTACTAGCAAATGTATAGACATATAGATCAAATAAAATTAAGAGTAAAAAATTAAGTCCATATTGTCTATGGACAACTAATATTCAAAAAGGAAAATGGTATTCAAGGGGAAAAATAGTCTTTTCAACAAATGATCTGGGGCAAATGGATAGCCACATGCAAAAGGGTGAAGTTGGACCATACCTAACATCACATGCAAAAATGAACTCAAGCAGAATGTACAAGATAACTGTAAGAGCCAAAACGATAAAACTCTTAGAAGAAAACATAGATATATACCTACACAACTTCACATTTGGCAATGAAGACTCAGAAGACAAAAAATGAGGAGCAGAGGAAGTAGATAAATTACAATCCATCAAAATTTAAAAATACTATGCTTCAAAGGACATTATCAAGAGAAGGAAATGACAGCTTACAGAATTGAAGAAAATATGAGAAAGGTATATATCTCATAAGGAACTTATACCTGGATATGTTTTTAAAACCTTACAACTCCACTATTAATTAAAAGGCAAATAACTCAGGAGAGGGGCAAGGCATCTAATCAAACATTTCTTCAAAAAAATAACAAACAATAAGCAATCAAAGATGCTCACTCACCATCATTAGTCATCAAGGAATGCAAATCAAAACCACGATGAGGTCCCACCTCACATCCCCTAGGTTTGCTAAAATAAAAAGGTGGTCAGAGGGAAAAAAGAATA